TTCTGCAGTAGCCAAAAACATGGAAGCTTAGTACTATTCGGAACTGATATTTCTTTGGATTGTGTCTAAATAATATGTTGATTTTTCTCCTAAATACTTACCAAAGCTCATAGTTAGACTTTGACTGTTCTTTCTAAGGTCATTAATTAATTGTAGCCTACTTTTGATTCAATACCAAAAACATATACATACTTCTGTGGGACTGTCATAGTTGCATTCAAAATTTTGTGATGGAAAAAGCAACTGCATGATCTTGTTTCAAAAATTTAGTACAGGTAAACTTAATAAAATTCATAGTATTAAATCAAAAATCATAGTTTCATCCTCCTAGAAATTAATACACTATATAAATATATAGATCTTTAAATGTTTACTTACAGTTCAGGGATTTTTCATTTAATTAATTATTCAGCAATGTGGTGTTGCTGTAATTTAATAATAAAAATTGTGTATTTATTATTTACACATACTCCATGTATTGGACACGCTGTACCATTCATTTTGGCGTAATTAGTCCAGTTTCTTTTCATTGCACAATGTGCTGAAATTAGCTAGCATAATCTTTTAATATAAAATTTAGCCCAAGATGAGATGCTGCCATGAATAACTATTAATTGCTACTATTTTTTGTGATTCTACTTGCATTATTATGATTTTTAACAAATTTTTTGTGTTCAAGTATGGGTTTTGCTGTACAGGTATATTTGCAAATTGCAATATACCATAGGTACATTGGAATAAATGTTTGTCTGAAATGTTTTTTACTATCCTTTCCTCATTGTGAATTATTTTAAGTGAAATAAAATGGTGTAAATTTTCACAGGTACACAAATGAAAAAAAACTCGAATTTTCTTGGATTGTCTTCTGTTGTTATGTGTTAAAGATAACAGTGTAGTCAAGGCTTTGGATCACTGAAAATAACTTTGTCATTTTCTCCATGTTGCCTTAATTTTCTCTATGAAAGGTAGAATCCATTAGCTCCACAATGGAGGCATCCAAAGCTCAATGTTTAATTTGTCACGCGTGCAGACGTGTCAGGTACTTCAATTCCTTCATTGACGTGGCCGCCATGTTATCCTTGTCAAGAATTTTTGTAATCAAATATCGTGATTGCATTCCATGACTTATCACCACACATGCAACATAGCTTTTGAAAATATAGAAATATCTAATTTTTCGAATCGTTGAAGTTATATTTGTTGTTTTCACTCATATCGTGTCCATACTCGTGGTCTATATTATTACAACTTTAACTCGGTTTGGTTTGGCATCGGCCGTGCTCCTTGCATATCAGTGATCGAGTTTGAACCGTTAATGTATGTCTGCTTTTCAAGAGGCTATTTTTTGTGTATCGTTTATTACGTTGCTTATGCTAACAGGATGAAGGAAAACAAGTTCAGCAGCGACTGCTTTTTGATCTCGAGACACGCTCGTTTCTTGGAAGACGGCCCCAAAAGACTACTTTGAATTGCTTCGTCGTAATAATTGCCTGGCGATAATTTGCATAGAATTACGTTTTTATACTATTGATTAATTTGATCAACTATCATCTTTTTTATTATCGTTTTCTACTATATATTTCACAGCCATATTTTTATTATTTTTGCAAATATAATTTCTTGTTGGAGGATATCTTATGTGTTTCTTACGATACCCACGTTATTAAATAATGCTTTTTATATACTATTATAATATATATTTTATAAATATAATCTTCCCACGCACAACTAGGAGTGGATAAATTATCTTCATTTTTTATCACCTTTGGAAATTACACAAATTTTAGCCATGGAAATTTATTTTCGTATTATCTCCTGATCGTCATGTTTCCACTGTACAGCTCAAGATTACCAGACTTAGTGCATGTATTTCTTAATGTTTTGTTATCCTACATGAATTTTTACACTCAGAAAAATAGAAAATTTGTCCACATAGCGATGCACCTCTAGCCCTCGCGTGGGCTACTCTGACGCAGTTTAGCCCGGCATAAGTATCAGTGCTAAACGCAGGTGAAAGCTTCAGGGTAGATCACGTGTAAAAGTTTCGAGGGAGAGTATTGTTGAATAATCAGGGTTAAGTGTCAAGGTAAATTACGGTTAAAGCTTCAAGGTAGAGTATGGGTAATGTTGCAGGATGAAGCATTCATCCCAACATATGTTTTTTTTTTCACGCATCAATGCATGCATATCTTATACGGCGATCGTGATTACTGGGTTCAGCTTTTTAGTAATAATTAATAATAATCAGGCCTTGTTTAGTTTATCCTCTCGATATCTAAATAGTTCGTGAAAAAGTAATTGCTATCAAATTTTGCATTCTTCCATTTAATTATGAGAGTCTTGATAACCTAACCTCTTATTCATAAATCCGGCCAGTATTAACGATACGTAATGCATCCTCTTCAGAATCTGTGGCCTCTTAGCAAATATGTGATGCACCTTGAAGTGCCGGATGTTATTAGCTGGACAATAATATAGCTTATCCTGACGTATTATGAACTTCCTCTTCTATATGCTGATCATGTTTGATTTCAAGTTCGTATGATAGATACTTGTTCACAACAGGTTCTTCCATGATTGAATTAATATTAATTCAACCATGGGCTTCTTTCGATGTATGAATGTTTCAATAAGATAGTGACAGCATATTTCACCCTGAGCTTACAACTGGTAGCCATTGTGCAATGTAACTTTGAGATTAGATTAAAAAATGAATGAATTTGTATTGTATTAGGACGTTACAAACAACTATTGCTACACACTCGTCGCCTGGCTATGATTTACCGGTAGTTGCTCGCAGTCACATGTCTTGTTCTAGAAAAATAAAGACAGTATCCTAAGGAAGAATTTCACTGCTGATTGATGCTACTTGAATATTCCGCAGTAGCATTCAATTGTAATGTGAAACGTTCGAAATCTTACGAGCAACTTTCGTAGCTCAACGAAAAATTTGTGGATTAGGATCACGGAGTAATGCTGCTGGTAACACTTATTGTTCAGCGAAGATGGTGAATGCTAGGTCGCCGCGCGAGGTTGGGCTCCCCTCATAGAAGTCATTATTGAGATTTCCTGCTGCAGCTGCGGTAGCAGGGGCAGCGGTAGCTGTAGCTATTCATGTTTTGGCGTCCTTCCCAACAGCTGTTGTGTTGTCCAAACTGCACTGATATAAAAATTTTAGTAATTCAGACGCGCTCCGTATGATGACTGATATCACGAAGTCTACAGCTCATGTGAATTCAATAATAGTGAAATTATACGTAAAATGCTCTACAATTCATCTGCATAATAATACAGGAACTACTCGTACTACGGCTGCGGTGTGAGTGGAAGTTGGACAACTGAAGTTACGTAGTATGTTCCGTACGTCTATAGTGAGGCGGTGTTGTAAGAGCGCTATTGAAGATTCTCGAAATTGCAGAGGTTATTCAGGGACTCTGGCTGAGAGGTGCTTCTGACACTTCTGGTTTTCATTTCAATTATACAAAATATCATTAGTAATAAATAATAATAATAACGAGAGACTAACATGACGATGTCATCATCGTCATGCGGAGATTGCGAAAGCTAATGCTCTGTATTCCTGACATGCTATGATGGGTTCCTAAAAATTTCAATTCGTGTCAAATGCGTCTTGTTCGGACCAATACGAGTACTTGGTGTGATAATTATTGGCATGTAAGGTTCCATGCAACTAGTTTAGTTAACCGCGTATTTATCACTTACTTTATTTTCATCTCTCATGTTTTATACTTCCTGACTAGTATTAAAATATGAACAGTAATAGTAATTCTTTCGGATACAAAAATGAACATAGGTTTCTGGCATGCGATCCTGATAGTAGACAGCACAGACTACAAATAATGTTACAGTTAGTACTAGTGTGGCTGTCCCCCGAGTGACAGGTTGTGTGCTAGTGCGCTCCACAGGTGTGGGCCGATAAGCTCAACAGATGTTCTTGCAGCTGTTTTCGTACAAAAATGCAATTATAACCATTACTTACTCAGGTGTGAGCCGTGATGCCGAGTTCATTTTAGTGTTGGCAGAGGAGAGCGTTTCTCTAGTAGAGCAGTTGTCGCGTCAAAGTGGATAAAAAATGACTAAAATAATCACAATAATAAAAACTAGCTAACTTGATGGCAAATTTACTACCGTTCTGATAAAAATTAGTCTTATCATTTTAAGCGCTATTGAAACATAAGACGCTTTAATACACCAACTCAGAATTTGATGCTGATTTTTTTCGCGAAGAATAAAATTTTGTGTTCTTCATTTTACTTGTTGACGTGAATTTCAAGCAACAAAGAAATATTATTGACTGTCACGCAGAGGCTGTGGAGTGTGCCGATGTGAGATGTGAAATTTTAAAAGAAATCTGAGAGACAATTCTTTGTTACTGAGAATTTTGGGTAAAGCAAGTGACTCGGGAGCTGCCACCTGTGATCTAATTCGCCGCCATGTAGATTGTAGTTAGACATCTGTGTTTTAATTTTACTTATAATTTTATTTCAAATGGATGCAGATGTTCAAGTTTGCCGCCTTAGTATATTAAGCGTTGTCTCCAACGAATATTCATTTTCTCAGAGCACAGAAAGAAATTTAATGTTCTAGGCGCTTATTAAAGCAGCACTGCATATGTAACAATATTTATTATTATATACGAGATCAAATAATTAAATCCTACAATGCTTCATATGTGATATCAACGCTATACGGCATAAAGGCCGCTTCCTAATCTCATCTGTGAGAGGCAAGCCGCAATATACTCAATGATAAGTGTTATCGAGTTAGTTCTTACTGGAACGATCCCACGTCGTTGCAGGCTACATTCATGACGACTAGTTACACTGGCATAACTAACTTCTGTGCGTGTTTACTTATGTTGTCTCTCCAGTCTCCAATTGATTATAGCATGTAATTCTCTCTATTGTTCGATCAAATTAAAAAAGTTTATTATTCAAGTTATGGTGAATATGGCTTTACTTATCAATTTTTATTTTTAACAGTAATCAGTTGATTAGTTTTAAGGATTAGCTTTGTAAAGAAAATCAAGTTTTAGCCCGCACATGCAAAGCTATGAAATCTAGTATTTTTTGAACACGTGCAGGTTTACGCACGATTTGTGAACTGAAAATAAGATTTCTGCCTTGCGCTTTGTGGTGGTGTTCATTTTATGTTTAGGAAGAAATAATTTTTAAAATTCTACCAAAGAGCGCCCTCATGCAAGACGAGGTACCAATATCTTCTACCATAATCATGTGAGCAAATTGATCGCCGTTTCGAAACCAACTTGAAGTTCTAACCACATTTCTACACGGTGAATATTACAAATATCCGCGATGGAACTGCTCCCACTGAAGTTGTTGTTCATGGGTGTGATATTCACGTGCACGACCCTGGTGGGGATATCGCCCATCCTTCTGCGTGGGGCATTTGGGGAGCGTTGGGGCCGGGCTGTCCCTCCCCACCAGCAGCATCGACTGCTGTCCTTGGCTGCGTGCTACAGCGCCGGTGTCTTCCTGTGCGTCTGCTTCATGGGACTCTTGCCGGCAGCTGATCAAAAATTCCACGTCATCATGCAGGTGCTGTGTCGTTAAAAATTTCAGCGAGTATAATATCTATGATGTCTAACTAGGGCTGTACTGTCAAGAATTTTTACGTGTTACGGTGTTCATAACTCCGTCAACCTAGCATTGACGGCTTCTCCAAGATCCACCAATCGTAAGTAAGAAATCGGCCGCTGCGTGTACTTTTAAGCGAATTTTAAAATTACGACCTCAGATACTAAATATTTTTACGCATTTTAAAAGTAAGTATTCCTAGGATCTTTGATGATAATCGTGGATATTAGGTGGAAGTAATGGAATTCTAACTCGAGGAATTCGATTATCTTGCAAATGACAATAGGAGGAACTAACTTAGATTGAAGCGACGTTCGACGAATGTGAACATTTCTCAACTACGCGGCCCCCATCTGGTACCCTGTTGCTTCCAGCACAGCAGTTGCCAGCCTGCAGACTATACAGAATACCGCATTGAGACTAACCACCGGCTGCCTCAAAATGGCCCCGATCTCCCATCTGCACCAGGAGACCGGCGTTCTCCCTTTGCCCGCGCACCTGGACCTGGCCTGCGCCCAGTTCCTCGCCAGCGCCCTCCAGTCCTCCTACGCCTCCTTTCGCATGGTTTCTGCCCCTCTGCGTGACCGCCCTATGAAAGCCTCGATACAGTCAAGGTTCGGCCATCTTGTCACACCACTCTTGACAAATGGTATCCTGCCTGCCGGGACATACTGAGAAGCCAAGCGGTCTCTCCGCAGGGAGATCACCTCCCGCGTGGCGGCGACTGCCGCCATAAGCGCTGTCCTTGCTGCCCCGCCGCCGCCGATTATGGCCCCCCGCCCACCACCAGAGCCTCCCCCCCGGCGTGCGTGACGGTCGCAATCAACAACAACAACAATGTGAACATCGGAAAAATATGCGTTGAAGTTCAAATGATCCTAGTTCGAATTTTTCGGCTCTCGCCGTGCACAAAAACGTTAGGCTTAGTCCGATTTACACTCTGATCGAAGTTAAACGTCACCATTGTACACGTTCGTCTTCACCTTAGATGAATATTTTCTCCTAGTTACAGGGAGTTGTAGGTTTATTGAACTTTAATTAAATCTGTTACCTTCAATAGGAGGAATGTATTACAAGTAAAATCGATTGTAATGAAGTATATGTACACGCATTCAATACATTGAAATGGAAAGCTCAATTAGTCCCAGCGTTTTAATGTGAAAACGTTTAGCATAGGAAATTTTCAGTGCGATCACTAACCTGAAAGCTTTTTGAGGAAAAGCACTTAAATACACTATATTTACGAATTTTAAATAGTGTCATAAAGTGTTTGATCTTTTACTTCAATATGCCAAAATATACAGTATGTCGGATGCCCGGCTTTCATTTGGCATTATTAAATCACTTATAAGCGGAAACTTGTTTCCCACGTCCAAAGTTTTGTAGCAAGGTAGGTCCATACTTTATTCCGGTCTCGTCGTTTCGATTGCTTACTAACTGGAATCTAATTCAAATTAGCACAATTTCTTCATTTTTTTTTAAATTACCATTGCCAGAAGATTTTATTAAAGCCGAAAGTTTCTTCAATGCTGCAATAGGAAGTTATTGTTGCTTATTAGTGTGCATTAGCGAAGTATTTTTTCTTTGTCTCGCTGTAACAGCAATGTTACTCCGCTGAGAATTCGGAATGAGTTCCTGGCCGTCTGTATCCTTTATAGTATGAGAAGTATGGGCGGCAGAACTGCTGTTTTTGTGCGTCTTTGCGTTCATGTTGAGGTGGTCGTACGTGTTGCAATGCATGCGGGCGTTAAAATCAATTACCCCGCGCACGGCAGCCTGATGTGTGTTCGGAAGAAGTCTTTGCTTTTTGTACCAATTATCTTTCTCTCTCTGGTGTTGAGATTTTTTGTTGTGATTAGCATTCCTTTTTCTGGTGTTAGGTAGCCATTTCTTTGGTAGGTACCTAGTATTTTTATCATATGTACATGTTCTCTACTGTGCATCACAATGAGAATGGCCTCTTTGTCTTGCTGCAGTTCTCTCCGAGTGTGGAGCTGTTCTCTCGCATTGCACTGGCATTGTTTGTCACAGGTCGCAGCCTGTCCTAGCTTCCAGCCGGATATTTATTCTTTCACAATAGTTAAGTCATGCAGGCATCCGAGGTTGAGGGTGTATAATAACTAATAAGTATGAAAGTTGAAGGAGAAAGAGTGCCACGTGCTGAATGTCTTATCACGGAGGGTAAGTGCCACTAAGTGAACGTTTTCTGGACTGGAAAGATGTCTCTTGGAGAATTAGTGTGAATAATTATGGAGTGAGAAAACTTGAACAGAACGCAGCCACAGAGGTTAATGATTATGATTTCTTATCAGGAATTTATTCCTTTCGAGTTTGATTGCATTTCTTTACTCGACGATGAGGTCGTTTTGGAGAAAGTTGTATTTAAAAATTGAATGAGAATTTTCTGACATTGTTTTGCTTACCGTACTCTAGAAGTTCTATATATATGGGGAGGTCATGTATATGAAGTAAATGTAATATGGGAACATTATTCTCCTTTTGTGATAGGGTTACATTTGTGTATGTGCATGAAAACTCGAAACCTGGTAACAATATTGAGGGATGTAAGATCATGTAGACGCATTAATAGTAGTTAGGACAGGAACAATGGAACGACCTTTAAACAACGGAGAAAGCCATCACGTCATCTATAGATACCTCGGAGTGCCACTTTTTGTCTTACCGGCAATGCATCCGGCATAGGACACTTAATACTTCATTTTCTGATACAAAACTTCAGGGAGATTTAGTGAGCATTATTTTTTAATTGCCAGAATTTCAGAGCTAGATAAAGAGAAAATTTTTGTTTTTACTGCTGAACAATTTCTCCACTCCACACCAGACACGATTTACTTCTTAACTACACTTCACTATCAATTTTCATTCTGCGATAGGCGTACATATGGTTATAAATTACGTATTACCAAAGAGTGCTCCTACAGAGGATGTTGGAGGGCGATGCCAGTATGGAACGCTTCACCGAATTCCCGTGGGGCTTCTTTGTCGTCCTGTGCGGATTTCTCATCATCTTCACAATAGATAAACTTGTAAGCTTTCTGTAACTTTTGCCATGTTTACATTTTCAATTCATCTATTTCCTTCTGGCTTTTGCCAACTGTTGAATCTTTGTTTAGAATTTAGCTATTGGAAATCAGTTAATTTTTTTGAACGAATCAGTGTGTTGAAATACGAATACTATATGAAATTTTCAGTACTGAATCAAATACTATTTATTAGCTTACATAAATTTCTCATTAACATAAACAAATAAGAAATTGAAGCCATCTTAAAATTATTATTCATACTTCAAATTTTTTAAAAATCGGCCTTAGGCTCACGCCATCGAAATGAGCAGAACGGACACCACCCGCCATGCAGCAGACGACAGATCCCGGATCAGAGACTCTCCCGAAACGACTGATATTACCCTAGTCTCCATAAAAGATACCTCAGCGCCCATCTGTCCAAGTGGAGAAGCAGGGCGGCCGCCCACTTCAGAGGAATATTTTGCATTACAAGAGAGGAATTTAACTCCACTGAGGGGATCAAAGTATACTCCAGAATTGCAAATGACAAATAGTAAAGAACATTCCGTGGAAATGCAACTGCGAGTTGATCGAGCGTCGAACGCTGCGCTGCGCAAAGAAAGGACAAGAGGCCTCGAGGATAGTGGGCTAACCTTGGCTCATAATCACGGTGAGGGTAAAGTAGAAATATGCATGGAATCCTTGAAAACAATAGGCTTTTTTCCCCACTGTAGTACCTAAACCTAGCACAAGAATACCTAGCATAATAAATGTGTGTTTGGAACTGGTATTTATTGAAGTAATAATATTTTATCTATCATAAGTATATGTGAAANCATCATTAACCTTTTGTCATCGGATAAAACAGTCAAGGTTATTCGCGTTTAAAGGCCCATAAAAACATGCTAAATACACATAACGCCATAACGCCTGAAAATAGACCAATGAGTAGCTGACGGAGTTATAAACTATTTTTAATAGTTCGGCCGCAAGTAACTAGCAATACTGTCAGTTGACTGCATGTTAATCGGTCACTTTTATGCAGGTCATGGCGTGCCGTCGTCCCTGATTTTCCTGCTTGCGTTGGGTCTCCACTCTCTGTTCGAGGGCGCCGCCATCGGCCTTCAGACGCAGCAGGAGAAGGTCCTCGAGTTTGGCATCGCAGTGCTGGTGCACGAGCTCGTCATGGCGCTCACCTTCGGCCTAGAGGTGCACAATGGCGCAGATATCAAACGGCTCAAATTGCCTTGCAATGTCAACTGAACGAACATAGGCGAAATATGGCAATCAATTCGTCTTGAAATATCAACTGAACAGAGGTTACTTGCCTTCGTCATCTTTCTTAAAAATTTATTTCCTTTGAGAACTGCATTTAATCACAGAAATCTGAATTATAACATAACATAACATAGTGATGTCGGCGCTGAAGAGTAGGCCTGATGTGGCCTGTCGCCGATTCTTGAACTTTTCGTGATTTGTTCACAGAAGATCTAAAATCGTGTCACTTGACCGGATCTTTTCATGACTGACGATAGTTTGAAATAGCTACTAGACTTCCACTGGGTGCGATATGGTGCAAGGCATTTCAAGTCGGAACATATATTTCACCATAGCTTTATCTAGTCTGTTCTTGAACGGCGTTCATACTCGGAGCGTCAAAGATGTAATCAGGGAGGCTGTTCCACATGTCGGAGATTCGAAGCGAGAAGAAATGTTGTCGCGTGGATAAGTTGCAGCGCAGTTTTTAGACAGACAAGTATGACAGAGATCTGGGTCTCGAAACTCACTGCTACTATATTGTTGCTCTTCCTCGCTTTTATCAACCCATTATAGTAACATGATTCTCACATAATCCTATTATTTCCTGGAGTTCTTCATAATTGCCGTGACCAGGTGACAACAGTTTGTACAATGGTCAGGTGAGCCGCAGTCGTCGCCTGTCGCCCCTCTGGCAGGGGCTGTACGTGTGCCTCTTCACGGCCAGCATCCCGCTGGGTATCGCGCTGGGGGCGGGGCTTCTACACACCACACAATCGGAGACCCGCGAGGTGGTCGCCGCCGTGCTCGAGGCTGTCGCCACAGGTAGCGTCCTGTTATCTCGTGCGAATTTTATTTCTCTACAGTTGAGTCATGTTAAAACATTTCTTATACCTGTGTCATGCATTATCATTTCCAGCAAATGTAAATAAATAAATTTTTTTATTTCTACTAGAAAAACGTGGAGCTATTATGTACATAAATATATACAATATTATCTGTGTAGCTATTGACGCTTATCAGTTCTTCGTTTTAGCAAATGAATTCGGGCAGAGTTGTGAAACTCAATTTCAGTAATGAAACTTCAATATCCATTTGCAGGCATCTTCTTACACGTGATATTCATAGAGATCCTAGCCAAGGAATTCCCAGACCATCATTCCCCTTGCCACCACTTGCCTCACACCAACAACAACACCAAGCAACCACCCGCCAACTACAGCACCATCAACGGCGCTTGCGGTAAACGTGACCGCGCCTATAAGGGAGCATCCGACTCCGAGGATGAGAACTCCTTCGGCGCAGCGCTGGAAGAGAAGCATATCCTTCGGGAACCGTTACCGGGGAAGCGGCCGTCGCAAGTGTGCGTGATTGTAGAAAAAATAGTGAGCATTTGTGCCGGGCTTCTCACGCTTATTCTCATGAACGTCTTCCTGCATTCTCACCATTGATGTTTGATTGATTGGCGAGGGTGGGATACTATAAAGGAAAGCTCAATATCGATATTCGAGTTCTGCATACATTATCTACAAGATAAATGCTGTTGCTTATTAAAATGTGACTAGAAATGGTTAAAGGGAAAACTTTTAAATACCGTATACAAAGAAATTTAAACGAAAAGACGAGAGTAATTTGTTTTACTTCCAGCGATATACGCACGTCATTACAGCAAATTGAAAAGATGAACAACTGCTGGGAGAAAAAAATAAGTAGAAAAAAACGTATTCTCATGCATATCGGGGAGACACACAAAATGGTCAAACAATTCTTGTTGAGAAATAATTTTGTTCCAATTCTTTAGTCGAACTAAACGTAGAAGAGTAACTCCGATCTAACTGTCATTTTATCTACATAAAAAAAAAAAACAGCCTAGGTCCCTGCCCGCAAGGCCATGTTTCATTAATTGTTAGTGAGCAATTTGAATGGTCCGATTTTACAACAAACATAATTTGGATGAAAACATCACAAATCGGTAAAACTAGCATTTCCTTCAAAATTAACATGGCGAGATGAAAAGAAAATGTAGTCTACTTCAAACACAATAAAAATAGAAAGCTGCCCAAGTATAATTATTCACACCCTGACAGTTGAAAAAAAACATGTCCCACGTTCAAATTTTATCGCCAAATTTAATGGCTGAACAAATGAAGATATTTAACTACCCATGAACTTGTACTCGGTTCTTGAGCAAGATATAGAAAACGTTATTTTCACTATTAAATTGAAATGAAATTTTTAGCGTGTTGGGCATCTCGCATTGGATGTCACTAAATATTCATAGCCAACGAGGCTATTACTTGACACCACACCTGCCCTGCCTACACAACTCAGCCCCCACACCTGCCCTGCCTACACAACTCAGCCCCCACACCTGCCCTGCCTACACAACTCAGCCCCACACCTGCCCTGCCTACACAACTCAGCCCCACACCTGCCCTGCCTACACAACTCAGCCCCACACCTGCCCTGCCTACACAACTCAAGACCACCAAATCCTCAAGGAATTCTGAAAAATTATCATGCAAATGTTATTCAACCCTATTTCTAATGAAACTAAACTTGCATTCCAATATTTGATATTACTATAGAAACAATTCAGAAGTTAAAATCAAAGGGCCTTAATAACTTCTCTTCGTACATTTCACTAATCATCAACTAGTATATAGATACATAGGTTCACTAAGTAGCATCACAGACACCATCAAGCTCGGTCAATTTAGTAATATAATCCAGGGCATGAGGCGGCAAGCATTCAAATGAGCCTTCTTGCAATAAAAATTGGCGCCAATAATGCCCAAGTATTAATCCAAGACCTAACAACTATTAAATTCCTTTAAAAATATAATCTCGCATTATTGTGGAATGTAGATTTTTGGCTTAATATACGTAAAGGTGAAGGCAGCGGCAGTTAAGGCTACTGAAAAATATTTCTAATCTATTCAAAGTCTACGTTATTCGTTGGATAACAACACATTAACATCTTAGTCGTTACTCTGCTAGAACAGAAATTTCATTATGGTGCCATTTTAACCGACCTTAAATAAACATAAGAATTATACATGTGACTTGACACGACGCGTCAGACATGGTTACACCGTATCAGATGCTAAGGACACTTATGGATGCATTGAACGCTGATACGATAACATTAAAAAGTTCCTCTTTAGTCGTGATTCTCAGGCCTAAGTTCATTAACAAGCGTCACATTAAACGGTTAATAAATAATAATAATAGAATAAGAAGCAGTTGCCCGTGCAGCAGTCAGGCAAGAGAGCCACAATCGTGATCAAACATAGCATGAACTATCAAGAAATATTAAACCAGCTGATCATACGTAATCAAAGCACACATTTGAGAGGAACGGTCAGATAAGTAATTCAGACAAAATTATTAGTCATAAAATAAGGGAGTAATAGGAAACCCTTTCTTATAACACAAATAAAAAAAAATGCATAAAACGATCAGGTGAGTATACTAGACGGGGCTTCTCGACATCTGGGGTAGGTGAGTGAGCTATAAACGTCTTTTCCAGGGTTCAACTTTGTAAAATATTCACGATAAGGCTTGAATTCACGAATTTAAGATTGGATTGGAGCAATTTGATGGTTTCACACTTTTTTTATACCGCTAGGCTCAGTATCCCAAGAAACTCAATCGACTCGTTCAGCAAGAAAATCGATCAATGATTAGCGTAGAGGTTAGTCTCATAAGTGAAGGTTAACCCGCTCCCAAATCACATATCAGTGAGACTGAAATAGCTGCTGGTGACTAAATGTGGCCACCCCCCGCTGTGCCATGTCATGAGAATCGTCCCTATGAAAAGTGATGCATGCACTGTGTAACAGCATGTCAACAGGTTATCGTCCACATAAAAACATCAATAAAACACATGGTCTTCATAAAGGAATGGAAATTTTCAATAAATTTAAGCAAGGAGGTACGAGTAAAATGAATAGAATTCATGATGTGTTCCTTTTTCAATCAGAGAACAGAAAATGACTAAAAAAAGCGAGGTCAGTAATATCGGCTTCGTTGCTTCAACATGCACAAAAAGACTTGATTCTATGAGATCTGCAGTGAAAAACAACAACCAATTCCTATCTATTATACTCCATCAGTTGGTGTGAGTAGCTATGATTCACTCTCAACGTGGATTACTAATTTGGATGCATACACAAAGCCTGCAAAAGAAAATGCAACAACTAAAGTCTTTATTTTGACAATTTATACGTAATGACTGCTATATAATCGGAGTTCCAACAGAGATACCTGGAGAAAACGTTCAATTACAACAAAGGTGATGAACGATTAAAAAAATGAATAAATGAGATGACAAATTCATATCCAATGAATGAATAAGTTAGATGGCTATGCTCGGGACCAGAGGCTGAATTCCTGGTCAGAGTGTCAGGCGGAAGGGGTCATATGATGACGAGTTATTAAGATGCGGGCCGGTAAAGGCAATATTTTGATACTGCTGTTGCTGTTGCAGCAACTGCTGCTGTTGCTGAGCCTGGTGGTGAGATAACTGCTGCTGCATGTGTAGCGGCAGCTGCGACATGTTGTTCTGCTGCTGTGTATTGCTGTAAGCTGACGCAGAGTGTTGCAGTTGGACGGGGTGATGAGAATGATGGTGAGCCGTGGATGAAGAGGATGGGTTTGTGACGGAGTCGGTGAGCGTCGAAAGCAGGCTTGACGAAGGGATCTGCAGATGATGAGAAGACAGCGGGCCCGTCGAATGAGTAGGATGGAGGAGAGAGTGAGGCAGACGCTGATGTGCCTGAGGAGGAGGTGGCAAGTTGAGGGGTAGCAGCTGCTGCTGGTGCTGCTGTTGGTGAGCGTGGTGATGAATCTTCTGGAGAGCTAATGATTGCTGTTGTTGCTGATGAGAAGCCTGAGATTGGTGATGGAGAGACATGCCTGACCCTTGAATATTATTCGAGCTCGCTGAATTGACGTGGCCTCCAGATGAAGCTTGCTGATGTGACTGCAGTTGTAACTGAAGGAGCTGATGCTGTTGTTGTTGCTCGTGTTGTGTGAGTTGCTGAAGTCTTAATTGCAAGGCTTGAGGATACTTAAACAAGTCCTGGCTACCAGTCGATGCAAGACTGTCGTTACTGTCGTTGTCAAGAATCCCAACAAGATTTGCAATGTTGTTTCCATTGTTGCTACTGGTGGTGGTGGTCACAGGAGTTGAACATTTGCCCGGCATTGCATTGAGAGCTAATGAGATCAAGTCTGAAGAAGCTGAAGTCGAAGAGGAGGAGGATGATACCACAGCACTAGAGCCACAAGATTTTTGAAGGTCCATTAGCCCAACCCCACCGAGAACTGTTTCGGCATTCACGTGCACTGGACCTTGCATTTTGCCAGCAGATGCTAGGTCCTTGCCCGGCACACCCTTATATTGTTTCTTATTCCCCGATACCTCAAACTCCTTCTTGTGCACTCGGTGCATGTGTTTGCTGTAGTTGGCAAAGTCGCAGAAATTCCTTGTGCAGTGAGGACATTGGTACGGACGCTCCCCGGTGTGCTGGCGAACGTGTATCTTGAGCTGTGAAGTGCTCCTGAAAAGCATGAAATGAATTATATTTTCTACAAATGTGACAACTCGCAGAATTTATAAACGTTAATGATGTTACGATGTACCAAAGGATCGGAATATACTCAAGTATCATATTGAGACCCTTGGAGTAAAAATAATTGGAACTGCAAATTAGAAGGAATATTTTAATAAATACCATGCAAATAAACATTCTTTTTCCGTGTGTTTACTTGCAAAGTTGAGAATTGTTACCGAATTATGTTGATAGCTCGAAATTTTATACAATAATTGCACCAAGAAATGATCGTCGTTCAGTGGCTATATAAATACGATAAAAGAGTGAAAAGAATTCCCTTTCAATCAGGCAATCCAGAAGGATTTTCCCATAAATGGATAAAGATCTTTCCACTAATGAACGTAAGTCTTTATTATTAGTGCGAAGCCACACTAAGACCTCATATAAAAATCTGTGGCCCAAATGAGGGCGGATGAACGATAATCAAATGCGGCGATCCATCGTGGCCTGGGACTGCTATGTCCCAAACAAATACTAAGGATACAAGGGGTAGAGCGAGTAAGTGTGTGTGGTCGACACACTTAAATTATACACACTGAAAGTGACACCTGAGCCTCTTCTCACAGTGGGAGCAAGGGTAGGGCCGCGTGTCGGTGTGGATGAGCTCGAGGGGACAGTGAAGGAACTCACCGGAACCTCTTCTCACAGTGGGAGCAGGGGTAAGGATGAGCTCGAGGTGACAGTGAAGGAACTCACCTGAACCTCTTCTCACAGTGGGAGCAAGGGTAGGGCCGCGTGTCGGTGTGGATGAGCTCGTGCTGGCGCATCTCATTCCTGCTGCGGGTTCGTTTGCCGCACGTCTTGCACTCGTAGGGCTTCAGGTCAGAATGCACGCGCATATGCACTTTTAGTTTGCCCTTGCTGTTGCATCTGCAAAGTACCACAATAATTATCACTAAGAAACATCTGTTACAAAATTTCAATGAACCGGATCTCTGATACATTACCAATTGTAATAGATTGATTTCTTAGCATATTTCTGTACAGCTAGAGCGCGGAGTGTAAAAATTATTTAGTTAATGAGTAGGAGCAAAGAACTTGACTGCTTAGGCAAACTGGATGCAGGCGCGAACAAAGCAAAAGAAACGATGAACTAAAAAAAGTTTATTGGGAGAGCAAAGAGAAACGAAATTCACAGCAGAAGAGACCTCAACCAAGAGAAATTGAAAAGAAGATAAAGTAGGTAAACAAGTAAGCATTCTTGAATTTATCAGCAAAAAGCATGATCCTAAATTAGGTTGGATAAACAAAATATCTAAATTCACTAACTTGCGTCTCATGAATATCACGCTAACAAATTAGACAGATTTACACAAGGGAGTTTAAGAGAAGAGCCCGACTAGAAGAAACTAGCAACATCTTTGTAGCTGACCAGCAGTAAGTACAGGTAGAATAAAAAATTCTGGGCTAGTTGAATTTTCAGCGTTCCGAGTTTGGGACCTAACTAACGAGATAAGCTTCAAAAAATAAAAATTAAAGTGAAAAGTATAGAAGCTTGGAAATGTGATTAAGGGAGATGCATTTTTCAGATTTTGAATTAGATCTATACTAAATAAAAGAAAATCAATGGATGTTTGATGATAATCATAATTGTAATTTGAATGCAAGAAAAATTATTCGAATTGCTACCTCCAGCCACAAGCCTCGCAGCAGAAGGGCTTCTCGCCCGTGTGGGTTCTCTCGTGGATCTCTGCAGTGGACTTGCTACCAAATTTTCTGTCGCAAAACTGGCAGCTGAAGTCCTTCACTTGCTCGTGCACAACCTTGATGTGCACTTGAAGTGCTCCATTGTTCATGAACCTGGAACAAAAAACTGATTTAGTTACAGAACCCAAGAGAACCACATGGTCCTTCATTAACCTAACCAAGTCTGTCGTTATATATTTAATTTATTCAAAACACTAACCTGGCAAATCCAGAACAGTAGCCATTAATTTGTAAAAATACCATCAAACTTAGGTGCAATTTGTGAGCACTGTGTGAGTTAGGTGCAACTGAGCACAGAAAACACGCACCGATGGCCGCAAACGTGACAGGAGAACTTGTACTTGAGCTCATCTGGCCTGTGCTTGAGCTTGTGGTGCCGCAAGCCCTCAACGTCTTTGAAGGCTTTGTCGCATTGGTCGCAGGCATGGGGCCGGTGCTCCTGGTGAACTATCATGTGCTTGCGCAGGTACTTTGGGTGATAAGACTTGCAGCATATCGAACACCTGCGAATAAAACTGCATTAGATGACTCGCGTGTTGCAACGCAATGAGACGTGCGACGCACGAGTTGCGGACGAATTCATGCATTTATGGGCTATAATATCAGGCAATAAAATTAGAGGTAGCTGACCAGAAAAAGTGTATTCAATAATGGATTTAAATAATCTACAACACATAGATTTTTACTAAATACATCAATATATCTTTCAGAGCATCGAATTTAGTAGCGATAAGACATTGATGGCACGAAAGAGATGGCCATTGAATTCTCCAAACTACGGTGGTAGTCATGGAAAGTTTACCTTATACTACAAATTATTCTATTTTTCATTAGAAATTTCTAAATTCCATGACATAGATTCATAAACGGGACAAACAAAGACTAAGCAGTACACAACCGAAATTAGTCCTGCATTATAACGAAAGGCATTCAAGTATAGCCTAGCTTTCGTAAACAAATTCAGAGAGTAATACACAACAGAAAGCGAGATAGAAAGTGGTAATTAATTGAGAGCAAGATCAAAATGTAACAAGAAGGTCGTACATGATGGCATCAACACCGTGCTTGGCCCTGTGCTGCACGAGTGACGCAGGGGCGCTGTAGCACTTGTCACAGTGCGTGCACATGTACGGAGCGCTGCAGTCTTCGTCCGTATCTTTGTGTACCGCCACCACATGCGTCCGCAGTTGCGGGAAACTCGAGGCCGTGTCGCCACAAATGCCACACCTCACAGTTCCGCGCACCTTCTTGCGCGCACGCTGAACAGCCATGAAATAGGTCAGAAAAAACACTGAATAAAATTGAAATGAGGCACGCACATCCAAAACGCGTCGTAAAAATGTTCAAGGGATGTGTGTGTTTAAATGTGTTTAAAATTGAATGTTTAAGGGATATGGGGCACAACGTAATAGTGCACATAATGTTGTTGGATAATAAAGAGGGGAATGGGGCACAACTACATGGTGCATACAATGATAACGGATTAAAGGGAAGAAGAAAAGGATAAAAAATAATGTGCAGCTAAATGATATGAATGGAAAATGGGTGACAACCACATCGTTTGCATAATGAAGATGAAAGGAGATGGATGGGTAGAGAGATTAAGAGTCCACTACTGTCTAATTGGAAAATGGAATATACTCAAAGATGAGTTGTATATGAATGGTGCGGAAAGGAGACTAAACATGAATGAATACGTATAGGTAGGCTTATATTGATGAAAAAAGTGCATGATAGAGCCTATACTTTAATTGAAACGATTGACTTACATGGGCACAGAGCTCAAGAGAAGATGAATAATGTAGGACAGATGAAGAAATTATTTGTAATTTAAGGTATGAATGCCATTAAACTATGAGTTTGCATAAGACATTTCTGATAAGAAATGCATAAGACACGATCACGATCGTACCATTTGCTTGCCTGGTGATGGATTCAGCTGCCACTCACCTTAACTTTTGACTTGAAGAGTGAGGCAGCTTTTTGGGTTTTCGAGTGTACGCGTTGGTGGAGAGCAAGCCCCCGCTTACTGGGGAAAGTCTTGCAACACTCATGGCAGTAATGCCGACCTTTCACTTTTCTCCTGGCCTTCAAACTTCCTGAGCCTTTGACGATGGATGAAGTGCATGTCATGGGTTCCTGGAAATCATTTGAATACTATAAATTACTAAATCAATTGTACATAAAATGTCTTTACCAAAGGAATGCAACTACGCTCACTTCACTATTACATGGACAACAGGGCATAAATTGATATGCAAGGATCGCCCTCACACATTATCTATGATGCAAGTTGAACACCAACACACTACTAAGGCGTCATCTGAAACTTAAGTGTTGCTCCATCACTAGCTACAATGCACAATGAAGATTAACATACACACCACTATGACATCATTGGAAACTAAATTGCCGTTAGACTTGCTATCGATGGAGTGATTTCAAAACTATCCAACACACCATTTTGACATTATCGCAGCATCATTCCATAACTAGCGTCACTCACTGGCACATGGCTGCCATGTTTGAGCGCGGTGTGTTCAACAAGCTTGTGAAGGTCTCTGAAGGTAAGGTTGCAGTAGAGGCACATCAGAGGGTTCTGGGGCTTTGGTTCCTGCGAGTGTTGCATGTGCTGATGGAGCAGCAGGCTTGACAGGGCATAGAATGGAGCCTCGCATATGCTGCACCGACCAAAATGTACAGACATCTGTAACAAACAGAAAGTATTTTTCGTGGAGACATAAAAATTTCACATAACTTAGAAATTGGTTTTAATTTACATTTAATGACACATTAATAGGCTCAATAATTTACTACAAATACATCAAGGTTGATGCCCTCGGTTGAAATGTTATGGTCAAGTTGGAGGATATAGTGGCAAGGGAAATATTTTACCATGGGAAACGAGGCTGATTTGGAAGCTCTTGACTGCGTTCCTTCATCACCAGACACTTCAAGCTCAACTTCCTGTCCCTCGGTCTCAATCTTGACGATCTGAAAATAGTGGATGGTAAATTTAATACTATAAATTGATGATATGTGACCTTTAACAATGCAGAAATGTTAATCCTATTGGAATCCTAACTCAAACAATAATCTAAAAATGTTTTTTTTTTTAATTTAAGAATGCCAAGACATTTATAAAGAAAAATTCAAAACAACATTGCTCAGAAACTTTGCAATTAAATAAAACAAATATAAATGAATAAAGAATGAAATAAATAAACGAGTGAACAGTTGATTAGCAAGCATATTGAAGTGGGCAAAAATCAACAACTGAGATGATTGACAATGAGAAACTAAAATCATAGATGGAATGAATATTGAATAATAAAATGATTTACTCACAGGTTCCCGAATGAACTCGTCAATACCATCCATGGCAATGGTATTTTCATCACAGGTCTCTGCTAGCTCCACCAAGTTGCTGTTATTATTACATTCTATTTTGTTGCTGGTATTGTTGGCATTTTTATCAGGAACTACCAAGGCTTCAGAAGAATTATTATTCATATTATTCTTAGAGCTGCCAATATGTGAGTCGTCGTCAAGAGGGTCGGTATTATCGTGTTCAGAAGTCTCCCAGTCAGCAGATGTCAACAATGATTCTTTACTGCCAGTTTTATCCTCAGCCTCTTCAGTTATGTAATGTAAATTACTTGTCTCTTGGTCCAGAGGCTCACTTTTTAATGACTTAGGATATTGCTGAGATCCATCTGAAAGAGTGCAAATATTGCACTTGGTAACAATTGTTTAAAGCTTCTATCACTAGTTGATCAAACGCAAATGTTTGAAAAAAATTTAAAATTAAATTATAATTACTATGCATACAAAAATATTCAAGTAACTGGTCAACCCAATGAGTGATAAGCAACCTATGATAATCTTCATACCGTATATATTGACTTTTGATATATATATATAAACAAAGCAAATGTTCAAGTGCTCACCATTGTTATCACATGGAAGGGAGGAACGTTTAGACTTTCTGGCAGCAGCAACTGGTACGTTCTGGCCCTTCCTTCTTTGACCTGCAAGGTAAGTTAACCAAATAATATAACTGTGAGGATGAGATCCATTAAATATCATGGCATGTAATAAAAATGAATTAAATTAAATGTGAAACGAATGAGAATGGAGGATATGCACTGCAGTTGATTACACAAATCACATGCTCTAAAAATGTTGAAAATTTTTATTGAGCAGGTCTGTAAAATGCAAATAATGAATGTTACTTGGGTCTATCTTTGCAATGCAGGACGTTTTGGTAGAAAATAAAATAGATTGATATACAATAAGCTAAGAGAATGAAAAAAACTGTTCTAATATTGGGATTGCTCTGTTCTTGGCAAGGCTTACAAGGTTTCTGAGAAATGAAACTTCTAAACTAGCAAACACTTTACTGAATTTAATTGGGCAAGAAACTAAAGGATAATAGAATTTGAGAAGTCTACCTACAGTATATGAATTTGATTTATGCAAGTTTGATTGAAGACCAAAGCATGCTTTTTATTAACAATCTTCTTGTTCGTCTTTTCAATGAGTTGTATGGTGCCAAATTTCTAGCTGGAGCCGGGAGATCGAAAAGCAGGTTTCCAAATGACATTTTAATAGATTGCAACATTTTGAAAATACAATTTTCATTATCAAGCTGGTGAAGGTTTTACAACACTTGAAATTAAATTTTGGGAATAACAGAAGTACATATGAATGGTATAGTGGTTACAATTTTAAAATATCAACTTAAAACTACTCTGAAAATAATTTCAGCATCCAGACGAATCCTGTAGTTTGGAGGTTGATGGCAGGAGTCTCGCTCTTGATAATGAGGGCCCCAGCCATCGCCAGTCTCGATGGGTTGGGGCACCGCATAACTCTGCTGGTGCATGCCTCCAATGTCGCTCGGGTGATGGTCCCACCGTGAGCCTCCAGCATGTGGTTCTTAGGTCATCCAGATTGTAGATGGCATGCGAGTCGTTGGCTCAAGGTCATGCTTATAAGGCCAATTTAGTTCATGCTCGGAAGAAGTCCACAACCCTCCCTATTACATGAGAACTTATAAACTACATCCTTGAAGCAGACCAGATTTTTTTATTCATTACAAGGTTTTTAATTTTCTTATTTTTGTAGTAGATCAGAAGTTTTATATTTTCGTTATCCATTGTGCTCTTGACATTACGGTGGGACCATCACCCGAGCAACATTGGAGGCATGCACCAGCATAGTTATGCGGTGCCCCAACCCATCAAGACTGGCGATGGCTGGGGCCCTCATTATCAGTCTCCAGCCATCAACCTCCAAACAACAGGATACGTCCAGACGCTGAAATTATTTTCAGAGCAGTTTTAAGCTAATAATTTAAAATTGTATCCACTACCTATACCATTCATTTGTACTTCTGTCCCAAAATTTAATTTCAAGTGTTGTAAAACCTTCACCAGCTTGATAATGAAAATTGTATTTTCAAAACGTCGCAATCTATTAAAATGTCATTTGGAAACCTGCTTTTCGATCTCCCGGCTCCAGCTAGAAATTTGGCTTGGCTCATTGAAAAGATGAACAAGAAGATTGTTAATAAAAAGCATGCTCTGGTCTTCAATCAAACTTGCATAAAAGAGAAGCTTTTGCTGAACTACATGAATTTGATTTTACAAATGTTTCTACAAACTTGAGATGTTACTTACCAATAAAATGTTACCTAACAGCCTATTTGAACCACTAAGCATGTTTGAATGATTTGTCAATGATGCCTCATGATATCAAAATTATAAGGTGCAATTTTCTATTAGGCTGGATAAAAATTCATATCCTTGAGAAAATATTACTGGTTATGTTGCATGACTCACTGCCTGAATTTCTATCAACTGAATTTAAGGAAGATCTTCTCATGGATATTAGAGGATCAGGTCTCTTCAGCCTCTTCAGCTCTTCTTGCAGCAGTAGAAGCATCACAGGATTTGATGGATCATCATAGTCTGGTTAAAACATTTAAATCAAATTTGAGACAGCAAAACAATAGTAGAACTAAGCAAAAGTTGTGATAAATATCACTGAACATAATCTATACTTGAAGCCTATTTGGAATGAAGTTAACACATACAAAAGAATAATAGAGTATAATTACTTGACTGCAAGACTAGGTGACAACAGATTGGAGAATTAAAAAAAAAAATATGTAAATGAACAAGAAATTTACCCACCATGAAGGACAACCAAGCAGAACTAATTTATTGTAGGAAATTCAATGCTGACAAAGGGTTATGTGCATTCAACAGTGATGATAAAATTTCATTAGATATACCTACACCTAATTACTGGCACCACAAATCTATTATTTATATACTGCCTAAATTTTTATTTTAGAGTTGCATCAGATATCTATATAGTTTTCATAAAAAGTAGTAGCAAAGAAATTGACAATAACATTAATTTTAAGCTCCAATATCAAAATTTAGAAAATGTGCAACATAATTTTACAGTATACACTGATGTTTATACCAGAGAATGTAGTGTCTCCTTCTGCTATTTGCTTGGCAACTTGTGTTTGAATATGAAGCTCATCCAGGGTACGCTGGGCCTTCTGTGCAAGCTCAATAAATTCTTCCACTTCTTTTAAGCGTGTAAGACATTGGCCACAAACATTCTTGGGTAGGTGGTCATCAATCAGTATCTGGAAGTAAAAGGCATTTCAGAGGAAATTTAGCCAATTGAATGATTGCTATTTGCATTTTTAAGATGCGGAACTACAGTAGGTCTTGTAACAAATGGTAATAATTTCAAACTAGGACTAGGAAAGATTGAAATGAAAGAATATACACCTATATACTGTCAAATGGGGTAATAAGGGATGGTTTTGAGGGTTTTTTCTTAAAAACTCTTACCATGAAACATTTCATAAACAAATTTGGGCTCAGTTTAAAGGCCTTTGCAAGGGCTATCAAATGGCATCAACAAAAAATTTCATAAGCTATTTGTAAGGCAGGCGCCAGATGCAAAATAAAGCATTGCTAAGTACCCCTGGGGATGGGGTAATTAGGGACCCTGAAATAAAACTAATTTTAATATGTTTGAAGCATTCCGCAGAGTGTACTCATCTATTACTAAAAGTACTTCAATGTCCTCCTTTTCCGTTGTAGATGATTTAGATGTAGATTAAATAAAATTTTCTGTGATTTCTACTTGTTTTTCCTTTATTGATATGATATTACAATATCCATAAATTACCATATTATTAATATGATATTACCATATCCACGGACATGCCATTGAGCATTGACAATGACCTCGTCCACTGCAACCTTCATATTAGCAGCCATATAGCATTTCTTCTGTATCTATAAGCTTACAAGATGGCTTGTAATTTTGCACCATTTTAATTGAGTCAAGTGAATTCACTATAACAAACAAAGATCATAAAAAACACACCTGCAACTGGAAGGAATATCCTAGTGACAAGTGACAACTATCATATTATTTTGGAAAAATAAATCATAGTTTAGGAAATTACTTTTCATTCTATGTTGACAGGTGCACAATTCTATCTATGAAATTATATGCACAATTTTGTACTGACCAATGAATAACAATGATGCATTAGTTTTTGTTAGGCAAGAGAATTTTTTTTGGTGAGCAAGGCAAATGTAATAAAAATTCTTTGTTGTTAATTGATTTTTTCCTTAAATGGAGCCTTTGCTAACCAAGGTTCTATTGTAAATGCATTTTTAGAGTTGTCCCTTATTACCCCAGGTAATGTCCCTTATTAGGGTAAATGCGGTATATTCCGACACATTAAGGACGTAGCAAAAAATGAATGGCTATAAAAAAATCACCGTAAGCACAACTCGAGTTCTGTTTGCTTTACGTCACTCACAAACACCGCACTACGCGCCAGCAACAATGAACTGTCACAAACTGTTGCCATATTTATATAAAAGCCTTTAGAATGCAAACCTACCAAATCCATATAAATATTCTGATGCTGTGTGTGCCTAAATTAGGCATTTTGTGAGACTAATTGCGACTGCGTTTCAATTCAAACTCTACTAATTCGTAATTCCAACCCTCTTGTGTTCAAATTCTGATTGCTGTGGCCTGTGTGAGCTGTACTGGAATATGACACAGCTTGGAATTAGAACACTATTGAATATTGAACACTACTTAATTAGGCTTTTAATTAAGAGCTATTAAGCTTTTAATTAAGAAAATATAGGGATTTGGTAGGTTTCCATTCTAAAGGCTTTTTAATAAATATGGCAACATTTTGTGACGTTTCATTGTTGCTGACGCGTAGGGAAGTGTTTTGAGAGTCACGTGAAGACAACAGAACTTGCGTAACACATACGTTTTTTTTATAGTTTTTCATTTCTTGATGCGTCCTTAATGTGTCGGAATATACCGCGTTTACCCTACTTAAGAAATTGGTTTAAATCTTGAGTTATTGAGGAAATTAAAAATGAACTGATTCCAAAAAAGCTCTGGTTTGCCACTATGAAGTACCCACAATGTTGGAATATACCGTGTTTACCCTATTCACACTTTTTTCAGGGATTTTTTAAAGGTAGTAAATGCATGATTTCTTAACTGGCTTTATCAGTTTATGTTAGGTACACAGTTGAGAAAAATGTTGAACTTTAGGCCACTATTTTTGGTTTTGCAATATATTAATTAGTTTAGTTGCAATAACAGTTTTACAAAATGTTGGAGGACTGTCCAAATTTACCCCACCCCGGTCGGCGGTCACCCGTTGGTCCTGTCCCTTAATAGTAGGTGTGGCTGGTGTGCCCCTATCCCCGCTTACCTAGTAGCCTAGCCATAGTGGCAAAGCAGAGAGTTTTTTAGACTCTCCCTAAAGTCGACACTCAGGATGATGTATGTTTTCGGTGAATTTTCCCGCGCATTTTCACTTTTTTTAAGCTATTGCTGTGCACAGTTGGGGCAATGTAATGAAAATTGATTATCTTCGCGCACGTGTTTGCGCAATCCCGGCCATCTTTATTTTAGAAGAAATTTTCTCCAAAGTCATATGGCAAAGGTCGTTAAAATGACAAAATAAATTCCCGCGCACCTGGCACATCTTCCTGACCATGGCCTCAAGTTCATTTTTGAGTCCTATAAGTAGACCAGTAAAGTATCCTGGATACCAGCATTATCATACATAAGAAATTGGTTTAAATCTTGAGTAAATGAGGAAATTAAAAATGAACTGATTCTAAAAATCTCTGGTTTGTCACTATGAGGCATGAGCCTAGCTAGGTACCCTGTTAACTGTTTCAGTGTTTGAACTTCGATGGTATAGCCAACGGCCTACCTACATACCTAATTAATATGTTGAATGACATTTTTTTTCTCAATGGTTAAACAGAATTTTAGACTCACCTCAACATCTAAATATTTTTTTATCTTGTCTGCAAGCTGCATTCGTAAATCATAAGAGCTGAAAATTTGAATGAGATTTGTTTCTTCGCCGCAGCACAAACGGCAAACGTTTCCAAAAGATCCCATTCTTTCAAATTACTTCTTTTCATTTACGTAAAATATTTTGTCTAACGAATAAAGGTAGAAATAACAAAACAAAATAAGTAATGCTCTACCTTAGCTCGGTAAAAACATTTTGGCCCAATCTTTCGGCTTCGTCTTCGTCAAACCACTGAAAAGAGTCAAACTAAACATGAATTAAGGTTTCACTAAAAATTGTCCTTTCTACACCAGCCTAGAAAGTATTTCCTATTTGTGAACGTAGTTAGACACCTGTGCTAACCTGTACATTGAATAATTTGATAAGCTAACAACCAATTATTTGTAACATTCTCATTTTTTATCGGATTTTCGCTTCTTTTGGACTGTTTGTTGTTTGCTTTGTTGGAGGTGTTGAGGTGATCTCAGTCAGACCAATTGTAACACTTGGACATGGCATTAGTTTACGATTTTGTACAATACTGATTTTCTAAGTACTTATAGGTTTAATTAGCTCGTAGGACACCGCAATTATTTCAAGTTTTTTTTCTGATCTTCTTAGCTATGATGATTCCATGTACGGTACTTCGAATAACCATCAAGTGCATGTTATATTGCAGTTTTTCCATGTTTTCAATGATCTTCTCAAGTGGTCTGATTCCTCTTCATAGTATTTCCTCTTAGCTGGTGCTTGATCGACACTCTGAATGCAGCCAGCAAAAACACCATGGGCGCGTTAACACGTAGGATTTGGATTGGCGTGGTAACCCTGAATAAGACTTTCAAGAGTCGGGCCTCCATTTCGGCTATCTGTCACATGTCACACATTAATTAGTGTAGGTATGAGGATAGGGAAGGGTGGTCAGGAAGGAGCAACATTGGTGCAGAGGCTACAAGTGTCGGAATGTTCGTATTGAGTAGTATGAAAATAGGTAGAAGTAAGGTTCAAGTTATTTGGTCTATTATTGCTGTGTCCCATTTATTGCACTGTAGTCTTTGAAGTTTGCATTTGATATTAGGATCTCTCAGGACAAAAATATTTGTTTTCTTTTATTATTATATTATTATTATTGCTCGTTTCTTTACACCCTTCCGGCCTCTCGCTAACCTCTTCCTCTCCCTCATCAGTCAACCCTGCTGACAGACCCACTATCATCGCAATCCATTCATCCCCCGTTCTCTCTTACATCACCTCACGCCTATCATCCAGTATCTTCGTTGCTACAATGAACGTTCTTTGGGTGTGTAACGTGAGTTGGACTCTGATGGATGAATCGCTGATGAAGTGAAATTAATTTCAAATTCCCCTTCAAACTACCGCGAAAATTAAACAGAGCGAAAAAGAGCTAAGAATACCACTTAAAATATCATAGTTAATTTTCTACTAAGCTGCTGACAAAATTTCTTGTGGCAGCAGGAATCGAGTATGGGTTCCTTCTACTAAGAATTTGCATATCATTCACGTTTTCAAAAGAGTTGACCAACAAAAGCCTGTGAAGGCTAGATTGAGCATCATGTGCCGAAAAAGCTTATGCCTGGGCCTCACCAGAGTGAGATATAACTTTTCCCATAAAGAAATAAGATGAAATATAACACATAGATATAATTACATTACATATATAATCTCAGGCTTTCCCGTCGTTGCTCGGGATTGATAATATATTCGATTTGAAATCCCATTGAGCAGAATTTTGTCATTCCGATTACCGCCATCCCGAATTCCATATCTAATTAATAATTTCGAAACTAACGAACGTCATGTAACAAAATGACCTGTCCCAACCAAAGCTTAGCATGGAACTCCAATTTAGCTACCAGTTTCGAACTCAAAGCAGAAAATATATTTTAGTACTGAATCTTAATTCAATTCCTCGTATAAAATTATAAATCTCATTTCAATTTCATTATTAACCGTTCCACGTCCCTGTCTGGAAATGCCAAAGGAGCTAACCAATAATAATAATAAATTCTCAGGTCAAGGTAATATCTGGAAACAGTAAGCATCAACGCTCCCGAATACCCACAATCTGTTTCAAGCGCCTGAGTGTAAAGTGACAAACGTGTTTCTATACGTATATAGGTATGTATACGATATATAAGATACACATAATATAATATATGTATATAGAGAAATATAAAAATTATACACATATTATTTTATATAAGTTATTAAACAATTTGATATTTTGAGTACTATTTTTGTCTCAGCTTCTAATACTAAATTTGGGAGCGAAGTAAATGGTGCGATGAAGCTACGATGGCATCAATAATGAAAAAGTTTAGTTTCTGTGAGAGCATCGAGCGCCTCGAGACGATAGCTTTCATAATTGCACCAAAGAGACACTCGAATCAGATCGCTATAGCAAAACTTTACCCGTTTCCTGAGTTTTGTTTGCGAAAAGAATAGGCGGCAAGTTGCCAAAACCATTAACAATGCTTAAAAAATTATGGTGCGAGCTTCGAATTTGAAAATTTTCCAACTATGAAAACTGGTCATTGAGTCTAGATGCATTCGATTATTTTAATTATGCATTGGTAAATTGGTTGCATTCGATTAATGTCATTAAGAATTGAATGTATATCATTTTTCTTTGAATATCGGATGTATTTGGAATTGAGATTAGATGAGAAAGTTCTATAAGTCTAAGTTCGGAAAACAACAAGCCACAGAATATAGTGACAAAATCGTTATAATTGAGTTCAGTTCGGCTACTTTTGATCACTTCTACGCTTCGAATTCATGCGAATAGTGCTTTTCGATTAAATTAATGCTATTAACATGAAAAATACCACCGTTATTGTGTAGATTTACAGTTGAAAAAAGTGGCGAAGCAGGACAACGTCATGCTCATCATGCGCACATGCAGAGCTTCTATATCTATAAGAACTTTTGAGTAGAGTTTAACTGGCAACCGATGAAAATTCTTGAATATTATATATAATTATTTTGGTACCAAAAAAATTTTGTAAGAGAATTCAGAAAAGAGCGTGATGAACGTCCTGAGCTGTCGTAAACACTTAATCAACGTAAGAATTCTTGATCACGTTTATCACGTAAGCATGTGATCAACGTACATGTGCATCTGATATAACATCGGAAAAACCATTTCATTAAAGTTTTCGGATAAAAATTACCTGCACTAGTCAGTCGTAATTTTCCCCCTACTGTTCGGTGATTTGATATTTCGGTCCTAAGACTAGAATTTATACGTCGTAACCTAGATTAGATTTAATGCTAATTGGTGGGTACCCTGAATAAACATGCATGTTAACTACAGAACTTTGGTACCGAGAATAGACAGTACTTTGGTTAATAGATTAAAGTTGATACTTAGGTGCTTATTGACATGACTTAATACTTCGGTGCCTACACTGAATTTTATAGTTCACTCCTTGTAATCTACTCAGAACTATTGAATTTAATCCAATACTTTGCGTGTCCCCGGCGAGACGAGCAGTCGAATATCGATACACTTGATTGTATTACACTTTTTAAACACTCTCTTCGTTGTTGAAGAAGATAGAAACTATAGTGTTAATATATAACTTGGTTACTAGGAACGACTGTCCACTGAAATGATTTTATTAGCAATTGTTCATAGATCATAGTTTAGTTATACGAAAGACAAGTTTTTTTTAAATAATGTGAACGTGGACCACTCAATACCAACAGCGTGTGCAAGCTGCCGATGATGTAACATGGCTGGCGGATGACATTTTTAGTAAAAAAAAACTTTAATCGCACTGAGACTCAAATCACCATTGACCAATCAAATAATTGTGATACAGCGCCGTCACTCAACATAAGTATAGTACTTTTACATTTGATGAGATGAATAGTTTCCATGTGCCATCGAAACTTAAAGAGAAGAAGAGAGGAATCGATGTGATTCTTGGAACTCTTTTCAAGAGATGGAAAAGAGCGTGCAAGAGAACAGGTGTGATTATGGTACATGTGAATATTTATTTCCATTTTGTAAAGAGAAGGGAGAAAATGATAAACGAATTGTGAAATAATAGCTTTCCGGGTTGCAAAATGAGAGGTTTGATGGTCAGCAGAAAGATTTTTTCACTGTGGCCCGACGCTGTCAGAAAATTCGAGCTGCTATTGAAATGTGATTTCTTTATATTTCAGTGGAATCTATGGAATCTGTGGAATCTATTTTAGGATTACTTGTGATTTTATCCTGCAGGAACCAGCAGTGAAAAGAGAGACGGTAGTAGTGTGTAGGCAAGTCCGTGGTTGTGAAACAGAGGATGAGATACATAGGCGTGGATGCGTGGATGTGTGTATGTGTGGGCACGTGGATGTGTATGAGTGGGTGTGAGTACGTGGATGAGTGGGTGTGGGTACGTGGATGAGTGGGTGTGAGTACGTGGGTGTGGATGTGTGGGTGTGGGTACGTGGATGAGTGGGTGTGGGTACGTGGGTGTGGGTTCGGGCCCGTGGGTGTGGGAGCGCTATGAACCGAAGGATGTCTCGCGGGCGAGGCCTGATCCTGTTGTGTCCGAGCCACCTCGGCCAGTCGGTCTCCAGCAGTCGTCGCTTGAATATGGCCTCCTCTTCCTCGCTCTCCTCGTCCAAGGTAACTCGCACGTCTTCATATATTTGATTCTTCACGGAGGCTATTAATTAATTAACGGAGTGCTTTTTAGTGGATTAAAGTGATCATTCTTGTTGAGGTTTGAAGACGCTAAAAAATTAATTGGTGATAATAGTGAGGATGTTAATTGATCGAACTTGCATGATCTCAACAATAATGATCGTGTAGATCTGTAGGGACTCAATGATTATTAGTTTGAAGTTTATACGATAGTGTTCTTGAATTCTACTTTAAAGCTTAAAACTTGAAATCATTTCAACTTACAAAGAAACTCGTATAATCGAATTTATATCAAAAAGTAGTATACATATCAACATGTTTAAAAAGCACGCTAAAAAGAGTAAAAACGCCGTGATGAAAGTAAAAGCATAAATGCAAAAACTAAAATATTCGAAGACGGTACAAGATCAGCATGCGTTATTGAACGTTTCATGAATGATCAGAACTTTTAAATGCACACATGTAATTAATTTTATTGAACGTTTCATGAATGATCAGAACTTTTAAATGCACACATGTAATTAATTTTTGCTCATCGACCATTAATAATCATTATGCCAAATAATGTCGGCAAAGTAAAAATTTTCCGAGCAACATTAGATAGATAAAAAAAAATTAAATTTAGTGATAATGTATTTTCCTATTGAAAGCAGAATTAGATTAAATGAGTCATTTATAATTTTGTACAGCATTTCTAACTGTTGCAACGCGTTCCAGAATGATTGATTTATTATTAATAAAAATACATATAAACTGGAAAGTGTCGTAAAAAGCTGAGAATATGTGTTTTCGATTTGACGTTCAATGCCACGCATGAATTCCCAACAACAAAAACTTTCACGGATATTTTTTCAATAAAACTTCCATGCCGGAGATTCAACCGCGAATATTTCCAGTTCAGTTCATGCAGTTGCTCTGGATTTTCTTCTGTTGATCGGTCACATCGATAATGCGTTAATACAGTGAACATACGCTGCAACTATTTCTCTCATTATTACAACCTTGGAACTTTATTAGTATTTCACGTACCAAAATTTATTATGAAAAATTAGTAATTTTGATTGGGATCTTCAATTATAGCAATTAAGATGTGCTTTTGTTTAAAAAATTCATTCGCTCCAACCGTAATTGTGAATCAAGTCCACGGTTAGTAGAACCAACATTTCAGTTACTTTTCATTCTTGAAACGACGACTGGTGGTAATAATGAATAAACTCACATAAAAAATAATGATTGCTAATTTATTAGCTTATTATTTAAATTCCGTAACATAATATTTAATATTATTCCATTAATAATTAAGAATGTCTGACTTGCATTTGCAAAAACAGGGCTTCACATGTTCCTTATAAAAACAAGTGAAATCTGATTAGTTAGAATGAAGATTTTGCACAAAAAATATCACTCATATCACGATACTTGAAACGCAAAACGAAACGCACTTGAAACAGAGAAAACATGACCACGAAAACCATCATTTAGATTGCACCTCTAGGAAATATCCCGCTTGTAAAAATCGAACAAAAATAAAAATAGAGAACCTTATATTAAGTTTTGCATCTCTGTTCCGACTCGAGAATTTTTTTTTGTTCGTAGGTAATTCATTAGGAAAATGTTTCTGTTTACAGTGACTTTACTTCAACAGTTCGGAATTTTCTTGGCCACGAAAAATATGTGACTGATGTCATGTGTTGATTTGATATTGCGGAGTGAAGTGTTGTTTGCCACTGTGACGAAGTGGTCTCGGGGGGATGGAGTGTTTGTAAAAGGCAGGAGTGACGCGAACAGAAAGAGGCGCCGGGCTAAACTGAATGCAAAACTAAATCATGAAAAATGGAGATGAACAATGAATATGAAGAGAACGGCTGAATAGAGAGCGATAAATGAGCAACTTGCATCATAATGTGAGAAGTGAATGAACATTATTGCGAAATAAAACACCTTAAGAAAACAGAGCTTAAATAACTCAGTATGGATACAGAAAAATTATATTAAATGCCATTAGGTATATTGGTGTCACTAGCATGTAATAATAGACATGAATTACTATTGATACAAATAAATGAATTATTATAGACAATATGCAACATGCAAACATCACGTTCTGATCTGCAGGACTGATTCACTGAAGCCAATTGATTTACCCGCGTCAGGAACAAGTGCCCCAACAAAATTTAGAGTCGCCCCAGCTTCTGGTAATCCTAATCAGATTATCAAATCATAATCAGCCGCGTCTGTAAATTTTCACTGGGTGTTCTTATTGTTGTAAGACGTCTACCACGACCTCAGACTCGAACGCTCAGCTATTAATCGTGCGTCGTCAATGACACATATAAGTCGCCACTCAACTTATACTGCACTTACTTGGCCGCTCGTCACTATAAACCGTATAACATTAATCAGAATTACGAATTAGTTAAGGTTCAAGTGGCACAAAAAAAGTGTGATGACGTTTCGATCTCGCTAGAAAGTTGAGATTGAGTTTTGTTTGCATAATATATATCGAAGTACTTCTCAAGTAGTGTGGAGTCGTTAGCGATATTGAAGGTAGTGAATTTAAGCACATTGTAAGGCTAATTGGTCTTCATGGTTATGAAATCTACGCATGCCCTGAGGTTTGTTTCTATCCACTGATCCCATCGTTATATGTGTACTAAGAATCTTGAATATTGAACTATGAGAGAAATTTTTTCATTCACTTCGAACCAAACCAACAAAGTTACTTATTTATTTAAGAAGAACAAGAAAATTATTGAGCCAATTGATAGCTGAAACTTTGAGAAGAAGTAAACAATTTTCAATATATGTGTACAGAATATTTTAATTTGATTATCGTGAGAAAGCATCAAGACACGTTTAAAAAAAATCGAAAACCTTTTTATAGTGAATGTACACAGAAATGCATGCATCATGTTGTTCAGTATCTGCAATTTCGAAGTCACTCCTTTACAGTCGATAGTGACATAAGACAAAAAATATAAAGTTTATAATAATTGGCAACTTTATAACGCAATAATATAATATATTAATAATGCAACTTAACAGAAATCGGGAAAATTTAGAATTGTGGATGCCACTCCTTTTCAGACTAATATTCAATAATCCCAAAAATATCAAACATTGCGAGTATTGCCTATAGTTTAAATGAACTGTTTTTGAAAGTTTAAAGTTCATTTATTAATCACTAGGGGGCGCACAACGGACCAATTCTCTTGAATTTTTTATTAGTTTAAGTGCGTTAATTTATTTGCATCAAAGAAGAAAAAAAGCAAGTGAACTGTTAGGGTCCATTAAGGAACTGCTCCTCTAAATTAAAGCTTTGAAGTAATGAGTTTTTTTGCGTCTTTCTTTGCATCGTAAGTGACGATGTTCTACTAAATTCACGTGACGTTTTCTCTAGTCTGAGTGACATTCAACTCCACGACTGAAGCGACATTTTCGCCACAGAATTACCGTTTTTGAGCTCGAGGTACGCATATAGCGTGTCGGGCCATGGAAAATTTATGTCGCGCCACCTAGAGAGAAAAAATTCATTTTCACCTCAGGAACAGCAACGTAGGGATAACGATGGGGGCATTACAGTCTTAATTAGCTAATTAGTCTGTCAATTGCTCTAAAAAATGCCGTAAAAGTTGACAACCAAATCAATAGATATGCGAGAGAGTTTAAAGTAAAACTAAAAACATAACATTAATTACCATTATTCATGTATCATTAACTACGGGAAAACATTCTTCCGGTCAAAATTTGTTAGCTTTTTGTACTGATGTAGGAGTTTTAATTGTCAAAATTGAAGAAGAAAGATTACGATGCAGCGGTAACCAATTACGCAGCTGCACCCCAAATTAAATGAACCGATCATTAAGGTAATGATTGAATGAATTATTTATTTATTCAATGATGGATTAAATTAGGCAATTTAGCAACTGTAGAATGAATTCAGCATTTCATGAATTATAAATATAAATAATTATATAATTAATCAATGATTGCTAGAAGCTATCATTTCTCCTTATCGGATAAAACGCAATGGTCAACTAGGTTCTTGCTTATTTTTTCCTTCATCTAAAAGTAAACGAATCGCCTGGACAATCAGCTGGCAATTGTGTTAATGGAATGCACACTAAAGTCATAACTGCTATTTTATTGAGTCGTGAACGAGAAATAATCAGCCAACCAATAACGGACATTGCATCAACAGACGGGTTTACTGAACCTGTTGAGCAGCAGCCATGCGAACCTGTAGGTTATTTTTAGTCTGAGTTATACAGATGGAATATACATACGGATTATGCTGGCAAGATTATGAACAGAGAATATTTAAGTATGATTATACGCACAAAATTTCATGCACGACTCAACACACAGATTATTCAGGCATGATTATACAAATAAGATATCAAAGCTTGATTATACACTCAAAATATTCAGGTATGATTATACAAAAAAATATTCAAGCACGATCACGCACAAAAAATATTCATACGCGACCCTGCGCACACAAAGTATTCAGGCTTGATTATACAAGCTCGTTGATTATTATTCAAGATTATTGATTATTAAACATTTTGATTATTCAAGATGCTTTCAAATGATGAGGAAAATAACTGAATTCCTCGTACCTGTTCATGCAATTCAATAATAGGTAACATTAAATTTTATTTGCGCAGAAAAATAGTAAGATGGCGTCTAGTTGTATGTTGGCGTTTAAATTAATTGCCTCATATTCATTGTATTAACGGTAATGATAATAGTTATCATGATAATTGTGATGATCATTTTAGCTGCTATACAGTAACGAGTTTTTTATAGAATACGTATGAAGAAATAGCCTTATCATTCCGTACTACCAATTGCGTCACCTAGTAAGTTCGGATGGTCTTAATTTTCACTTCTACCAATGACCGGAAATTGAAAGATGCTTCCCTTTTTCGCTTATATTTGCAAGGCTTGGGCTGGACGGATTGGAAAATCAAATAAAAAGCTTAATTAGATGCATTAAAGCTAAACGGCATATTATAGCCGACACAGAATTAAAGAAAATAACAAAACAGACCCTTTAAAGAATAACTGAACAACGAACACGATAGCCAATTTAAGTCGAATGCGCGAATCTCATTTACACATGTTTTAAAGATCGGGGAATATCGTTATGGTGATCGTACATTTTTTGATTCTTTTCCCTAAATCCGATGTTAAAAAAAGACTAAACTTACCTAACGAACCTAACCTAATCTCATACGGTACTACTATCTTTATCGTAACCCAGCCTAACGCAACCTAACCTAATGTAACCTAAAAAATGATCGCTGGAAAATTGAGCAAATCTTGATTTCCATAAATAACAAATGTAAGTTTCGAGTCAATGTTCCTTATAACATGACATGCAGAAAAAATCAACTAGAGACCCACGAACAAGATCTTGGAATTGTGTTAATATAAGATATAATTGATTACGAGAAGAGTTTATATAAGAGAGATTACGAATTATAAGTATTAATATAATTGATTACGACAAGAGTTTTTATTGTTTTTAGTTTGTATTGGAGGAAATGAAGGCACGTTGGGGCGGTAATGACATTGGCAGGTCGGAATTGGCGTGGGAAAACACGGCATTGGGCGGCGCAGCGGCAAGTTAAGTCTTCCAAAAGGCCCGCCACCTCCATGGATTCAATTAGCGACGTTAACGAGAAACGCTTCTTTCAATATATTTAGTGGTAAATAGTGCAATAATCTGCACGTTGATTACTGGAAGTGAGATTAAATAGGAATTAATATAATCTGAGTTGCTGGAAACTTTCTTAGATATCTCGCTTTGACTTTCGTTATTTTTGATCAATAACTAACGATAATTAGGTTCAAAATACTAGTGTATGATTAATGAAGTTTGTTTCTGACTGATGACGAATAACATATTATACATGGATATTTATTAAATTGATATAATATTAATTAATATTTCACAGCTTACATTTTACACTAAATTGACGATCAGTACGAAAAAGAAAATAAATTCACTATTTTCATTAATTATTCCGAGCTTCCAGCTGTACGAAAATTCTTGAAGTTTTGATGATGGAGCTCGTCTCCAAACGTTTTTGGTGAAATTTATGAAGATTTACTTGACATTTTCTATGCTTATTCATTTTCTGTTTGATTTATGTTTTAATGAATTTCAATGTATAAGTTTTCGTGACAGAATTTGAATGTAAGAGTCGTGGTGGTGCTGACCGTGATGCTGATGCTGGCCGTACAGGCGACGTCTGCTCAGGGACGGTCCATGACTGGACTCTGCATTCGGTAAGCCGATATTATTGTCAAACTAAAGGTTTATATGAACTAAACATGACAGTTCTTATTGATATTTCTGTAAAATCCTAAACATTTTCTGAAAGTGTTTGAGCATTTATTAATAATTTTTGCTTGATTGGTGTCGAGAAAAATTGCCGTAGCCTGTAAAATTGGAGAGAAATATGAATCAATGACGTTGTATTGAGTAACATCGATAGTTTAAATGTGCAATTTTCCTATTCACTGTTGTAGTTTCTACATGTGACTATAATTATGCACGAGAAGCGTGTAGTACCTGCTTCTAAATACATTGATTTACTTATGTACTGTAAATTCTTGTAAATAATTCAACGGATCTCACATACTCTGCAGTAACTATTGCATATGGTAACCATCTCCTGTAAGTATCAGCAGAGCTGGGCAGCGCTACTTTGCAATGTAGCGGCCGCTACCGCTACCGCTACATGCTCTAAATGTAGCGGGCGCTACCGGCTACCGCTACTGTGGCGCTACACCCACTAGATTGTAGCTTGCGCTACCGCTACCGCTACAGTTAAATGTAGCGCCGCTACATTAGCCGCCACAATGGCCTAAATTATTGGAAATCTGTAAATATTTATTATATAATTGCCTCAGATTCATTGTATTAACGGTAATGATAATAGTTATCATGATAATTGTGATGATCATTTTAGCTGCTATACAGTAACGAGTTTTTTTATTGAAAACGTGTGAAGAAATAGCCTTGATATTCCGAATTACCAATTGCGTCACCTTGAAAGTTATTATTATGTTTATTTGTTTATTGAGGATGTGGGGTTGTCCCCCATGTCCCTTCCCTTGAAAGTTCGGATGATCTTAATTGTCACGCTCACAATGACCGGAAATTGAAAGATGCTTCACTATTGGCTTATATAAGCAAGGCTTGGACTGGACGGATTGGAAACTCATATAACAAGTTTAATTCAATGTATTAAAGATAAACGGCACATTATAGCAAGTCAAATACAACGGGTGCGAAATAGAATTAAAGAAATTAACAAAACGGATCTCTCTTTAAAGAATAATTGAAAATCGAACACGAGAGCTAATTTAAGTCGAATGGGCGGAGAGAGAGCTAAATCACGGACTTTTGAGAATAAACGCACGATCCGACAACAGAAAGCAAAAGCAAATACCAACATATGACAAATTATTATATTCAGAAAAATCACGATATTTCACTAGGTATTCAAATATCTCACTACTATCACGCACAACTCACAATGGCGTCTGAGTCAAAACACTATAAGAGGAACCAGTACGCAAGTCGGGATCAGCAGCTTATCTGACGGCCACAACAAATTTAACACCCACGTCGAAGCTGGTCGTGCTTAATCTTTGCGATCTGATAGTCAGTGGTGGGAAACTTGCACAGTACTTCATCACAAATTTACAATACAGCAAGTAACTGCACTACTGAAGCAGGAAGGTGATATTATCAGTGTTTTTATTAATATTAATTCAATAAACATGGTTATGGATTGATAACTCCAATTAAATAAGCTTTAAGTTAAACAATGTTACTAAATTAAAACAATGTTTTCCATGTGACGATGTGCGAGAAAATTCATGTAATCTACTTGAATCCCTCGAGCACAAACAAAATTCCCATTTACACATGTTTTTAAGATCGGGGAACATCGCTAATGATTGTACATTTTTACCCTAAACCCGATGAACCAGAAAAGATCTAAACTTACCTAACAAACCTGACCTAAAATAATAATACTATCTTTACTGTAATCCAGCCTAACGTAACCTAACCTACTGTAACCTAATCATCTATATTTTTCACCTATCTAACCTAACCATCAAATCATTAGCCAACATTACGAAGCTTGACCAAGCCTAGCCCAACCGAACCTAGCCCAACCTAATCCGATCAGCCAATTGAGGGTAGCGGGGTCGATTCAACGGAAACAACGTCAAGCATTTAGCTAAGGTGTGAACTAGTTTAAAATTAGATTTGTGCTGTCACATCAGAGGATATTTTATACTTAAAATTCTGTAGCTTACTGCAAATTTCGTAAATTTATTTTTTTTTCTACTAATAACAAGTGTAAGTTTCGAGACCATGTTCCTAACAACATAGCATGTACAAAAAAATCAACTAGAGACTCACGAACAAGATCTTGGAATTGTGTTTTATATAAGAAATAATTGATTACGAGAAGTGTTTATAGAAGAGAGATTACGAGCTGTAAGTGTTAATATAATTGATTACGACAGAAGTTTATATTGTTTTTGGTTTGTATTGGTGGATAGTTTCTACATGTGACTATAATTATGCACGAGAAGTGTGTAGTACCTGCTTCTAAATACATTGATTAACTTATGTACTGTAAATTCTTGGAAATAATTCAACGGATCTCACATAATCTGAAGTAACTATTGCATATGGCAGCCTTCTCCTGTATGTATCAGGCAATTCCTTACGATTATCTAAAGGAATTGATTCGTTCTGTGCATTAACTGCTGCTAAATACATAGATTAATTTATCTATTGTAACTTGCTGTCAAGTATTATATTGATTTAACTTTGCAGTTACTCTCACATTTTTTAACCTTTTTGTATCAGTCAAGTACAAAAGAAAACAAATGAGAATGGACATCTTGCGCGCATTTAATGCTTCCATGTAAATACTGTAAATCATCCACAGTAATTTTAAGTCAAGTATTCAATTGATTTCACGTCGTATTTGGTAACTTTTTGGGTATTAATCAAATCAAAAAGATAACAATAGAGAATGTATTTATTACGCGCAGTAACTGCGGGTACTGCAAGGAGATGTACGGGGATTACTTCCACGGCGGAGACTGCGCCGAGACTTGCATCCTGACTAAAGGCTCCAGCATCCCGGACTGCAACCGACCGTCCACATTCCATCGCTTCATCAGGCGCTTTCAGTTCTCGCCTTAATGAACCATGGGCGACAATACACATACATGATACAACCTATGATTCAAATATTATTATCTTTCAGGGATTGATATCTTTCGAAGGCTATTGGTTTCTTTATTTATGGTAAAAATTTATTTTTCGAAGAGTTGAATGTTAGGTGACTGTTTGCTATCTGGAGTTCAAGTTCTTATCGACAAGAATTTTTAAGAGTTAACATCCCAAACCCAGAATCTTACTTTGTAAGATTATTCGAGATTCGATTACAATTATTATTCGAGGTAACTTCATTTTTCAACTGATAAAAGCCAAGTTGGTTGACAGAAATGGAGGGTAAATTCAGCGTTGCTTCACTTCAAACTTTGGGTTTGATTTGAAATTTTTATTCGGATCTTATAACTCCGTCCCGGAAATTTACCGTCGATAATTTGGTAAGTTCACCATTCTTAATTATTATAAATAATGTTGATTATTGCATAATTCTTTATGAATTTTCAAATGATTATATTTGAATTTATGGTGAGACATTATGGTAGTGGAAAACTGAAGTTATTCATTGAATATTCAAAGATCGAAAAGAAGAGCTCAAGATTAGGTCGATGACGATTATTTGCCTTCGCTCCTAATGCTACTGGAAATTTAGTTGCTGCATAATTGTTTTCAATGGTTATGAATAAATTGTAATGGTTGATCCATGGAGCAAATTAATGGGTTCGATCAAATAAATGAATCTATACGTGGGTTTATCTATGGATGAAAATTTGTGGATCAATTCATCGATTAATCCAAAGGATCTATTATAACGGTTAAGCTGATACACCAGGTTAACTTTACACGTCGGGTTTAACCTGCTTTACATCAGGTTAGAAACTTTCGCCGGTTTAACCTGCGCCGCCGGGTTAGCCGGTTTCGCCGGTTAATGTTAATTTATAGTCTTCTCCTCGCTCATGTATTGCCGAAAATAATTTATCTTAATTCATTTGTACAAGTGCTGAAACTAATATACGGCGTCAGTTTCATGCTGGGATATTATATCAATGAATTATTCGCTTGTGGTTATGCATAATAATTTGTTAAATAGTTCCAAATTCTAATGAACATTAATAGGAATATGTACTGAAAGACCATCGCTAATCTAGAGCGATCTCTAATGTTATGTAATTATTTAACAAATCTGTGTGTATTGATGCTCTATATGAAATATTTATTGGGTAGAAAAATTTAATTATATCTCAAGTTAAAATTTCAATGAACAGTATTTAATAAAGTCTAATTGATGCTTTGAAAACTTATTATTACCCTTTAAGATTAACACTTTAATAACTTGGTATTGGAATTAAGTTAGAGTTTGGCTCGCTTGTTATTCTATATATTCTGGTTGATATAATGACTGTATAACAATAAATAAGGAAATATGGATCGTAAATTGAAGACTAATCCCAAATTCAAATTTTCCTGGCCGTCTCATTGCATACAGAGAGCCTGGTAGATACTTTCTTCATTAAATAAATGGAGGCTTTCTTTAAGTTCAGTAATTCCATTTCTTATCGACAACATCAATCGGAATAAGCAGGTGAGCGGGCGATGCATGGTTGGCCGCCCAATACCCGACCGTAATTTTTAATCAGTAACTTGGTTCAAAGTAAAGGCTGAGCTTCAATAGAAGTAATTCGCACGTACTTCGATGAAAAGTTTGTGTGAATTTAGAGATGGGATGAGATATTCGTGAGCTGTGATTCAAATAGGAGTTTTCAATGAAATACTTGCATTTTAGATCACAAGAAATTATTAAAAATACAATAAGGAAATACGGAACATTACCGTCATGGCTTAGATTTTTGACTTGATGTGCATTTCGTACATCAGCGAGCATGGATGTGCTAGCATATAAGTTCCAAATGAAAATATTGAAGAATTTGAAACCCATGAAGTAACAGTTTAATAAGTAATATAGTGTTGCCTGGAGATAGTAATTACATTTTAGAATAATAACACAATAACATCTGAATATACCGTTATGACACCATTTAAAATTGAATAGTGTTTTCGGGCGTAATTATGTCGGGTTATTTTCGGGGATGGAAAGCTCTAAGGTAATAATAAACAATTTATTTAATTCAACTATTTTTTATTATGGATATCGATAGTTACATTGATAAATCATCACCATCAAACTGATGGCCAACAGACATGTATAAACTGCTGCTTAACATGAGCTTAAGAAGTCGATATATCTCAATGTAATGCACATTAATTATTGCCTCTGTGCACCGTTACATGATGTCTACATTAATTGCTGGGCCCAAGCCATCCAAATTTTGCTTTATCGAAATAAAATATCATGATTTGCATTAAGTTAATCGGTTTCCATGCAATATAATAAAAATGAAAGTCTGTTTCTGAAGGAAAACATTTTACGGATTTCACGTCACGTTTGGTCTTCGAATAGCAGCCATTAGATGATATCTGGCATGAGGGAGCTGTTGGTAGATACAAAGCTTGCGTATGATTTTATAGTGACAGTGATGCATGACGCAGCATCTCGCATCACTGCAAATTCTTACCGTGCGTAGAATCGCGAATCTCGCTGGCATCACGTGGGTGGCGCTGTATATTGTTATAAACTTCACCATATGTCATCATGAACGTTGTTATCGATGATGATGAAGCATCCTCCGCCTGAACCAGTAACTATGCATTATATTTACGAAGAGGATCAAACTGTCATGCTTTTAAAAAAGCCGGTTATAAATCTGGTTTATTTGGAACATGACGCACGATTTGAACTATTCACGATCTTAATGTTGGCGTGTGTGAACCTCTTAATTCTGTAAACCGCTAACTAAGTTAAAAGAAAAAATCTATTAACATCTGTTAGAATAAAGTTATTCTAATCGTTTATTGAGTTTTTTCCTAAAATAATGGATCAGTATTTGCACCAGCAATCAATGTTCAACATCTGAGCGATCAATTATTTGCACATGAAGCGTCACATTAATTAATAAATTAACAAATTCGAGATGAATGAGCAGGAATAATCAAAATGTACCGAGCCTGGCTGGATCAAGTCGAAAATTGCTCTTCTGACACATATTTTATGTAGGGGTTTATAATACATGATCAGGTTAATAGAAATCTGTTTTAAAGGCCACTCTCGGGAAGCAATATGTTTAGGCAACTTTAATAAGTTGCCGAAATATCTTACTCATCTCATGACTATTCAATTTACTTAACAATTATTACAATTTCGTAGCGTACTCTTATTCGAATCGAGGACATCAATGATGTACATTTAGTGAAAAGAAAATTTGTACCTATTCTATATAACGTTGAAGAGCGTTTAGTGAACAACAGTAGTAGTTGTTTCATAAATATTGGTTCAATAGTTAAAAATATATCCAAGGTATGTTTTGGAAACTGCAACTAAGATTAACCGTAACTACTTATGAATGAACATTACTGTATGCTGTGAGAGGGCCGTGGTCATCGTCCCGGCAGTTCACAGGCTAAGTAATCCCTGGAAACCTTTTAGAAGTCTTGAATTGTCCATTAAAGCTGCCATCTGGCTAGAGATCTTATGCGATCACTTCAGAAAAATCTCCTGTAATTGAATAAATAAACCTGATCGAGAAAAATCTACAGATAATAATTCAGGCATGTCGCCATTGATGACGCTACTTGTGTTTCGTGTGTATTAAGGAGATTAAAAAGGCTACCTCTCCGCATGACGATCCTTCAAGGATGCCATTCTTCCTGCAGGATGGCTTTCCAGACTTCAACTTCAGATGTCCATCGCATTGATGGATCCTTTAATTTGTATGTTTGGGACGTTTTTCAGACGAGGTTGGAGTTACGTAACACCAAAAGGTCAATTTTGAAGAAATGCTTTGAAATGACTGGAAAAATGGTAAAGAAAAATGATTTAGAAACACATTACTAATGAGACAAATAGTGCTTGTTTTAAATCTGTAATACGACAAGTGATCATTATTCTCCACTTATATGATAAATATTTTTATATAATTTGTGATTTGATGTAACTTTCGATATTATACATGATAGCCATTCTACACCATTCATTAATCTATGAACTAAATTAAGATTGAGCTCACACATTTATGAACATTACACTGAATATAGATTTTCTAAAGAATTTTTCCGATGTTCATTCCATGCATCGGAACAATCTTAGAAGTGAATGTGAAATTTCGTAACGTATTAGCGAACTTCAAATGCGGACTGTCCCCAACAACAATACTTACAGTGTACATTGTAGAGTGTACAATGCCTTATTGTACAATGAGTCATTTGCAAAGCCTCATTAGCCGTACAATCAACCGTCTTCAGGATTTTGAGTGTAGCTCAAGCCTCGCCCACTTTACAGACAAGATCTCAACAGTTGAGAGAGATCCTTTCATTTGGAATACAATGGAAAATATCTTCCGTCATAAAAATTATTGGGTGGCTGCGTTCAGCTATTTCTAGTAGCGTTTCTCGTATTTGAGTGTTAATTATTGAATCGTAATTACCTAATAACATTTAATATCTTTGTATTAAAAGTTACTATTACTATTTTATTACTTTATAACATTTGTATTTAATGTTACTTTATGTTACCCAATAAATTTACATAGATTTCTTTAAACATTTGTATTAAATGTTACTTTATGTTACCCAGTAAATTTACATAGATTTTTTTTTAATTTTTAAACTAAGTCAGTAACCGAGTTGAGGGAGAGCTCCCAACATATGTCAGTACTGAATATATGGCTATAGTGGTAGAGAAGTGTTCTGTATTTGCTGGTGCGGGAGTCAGAGTTTAAAAGACGAATACTGCAGGTCCTGAATTTTAATGAGGTAAGTTTGTTCAGGGAATTTCATAAACAATTTAAGGAAAACCCAAATTAAATGTAACCGCAAAAGCATACTTCCACGCTCTCTTATCCTATATGTAGGAGAAACATAAAAATATATGAACTGAAATGAAGATCCAAATTTAAATAAAAAAAACACATGAAAATTAACCAAATTTTTAGTATTTAGGTCACAGGATGATTTAAATATAATACCCGATATTTCAGAAAACGTATAAATAGTAGCGAGAAAAATACTGATATTATACGCAAAAGATATTCATACAGTTGTACATAAATTAACCATAAATTTCAATCATAAATATACCAAAAGCTTACCTGCCACTATACAACAAAATCCTGGAAGCACGCGTTATTTTATAACACTATTGAATGTTTAAAAATTAAAAATGTGATTAAAACGTTATAAAAGCCAAAAATAATATTATGGCAATCGCATGCACCATTAGCTCTGACCAACGTTGAAGGAGTGAATGAGGCTATCACAAAATACGAATATAACACTGGCCACCTACGGGAACCCTAAAAAAATATAACTCAGTACTCACTGCAGTGAGTGACAGAGAGCGCATTTTCTCGTCGACGAAGACTTGAGGTCACGGACAGACGGACAGACGGACGGACAGACAGACAGACAGACGGACATGGCGAGCACAATAGTGCATTTATTCCATAAATGAGAAAATGCGCTAAAAATAGAGAGATGCGCTAAGTAAACAATTCAACTGGCGCATTAAACCAAGCATTGAAGTTTTAAAGTTAAGCAGAGGCAATGTCCTTGGAAGTTGATGTTATTCGGAATTTCGCATGAGCGGGCCCAGCGGCAAAGTTTAGTCATTGATTTGAAGATTTATATCTTCTTACCATAAACTTATTCACGATTAGAAACATTAGAAACACGGAACCTGTTTATTCAGCAGGGACAAATTGAGCAACAAACTTCTCGAAAGCAATGAAGACGTAATACAAAGCAATGACGACGTGTTTCAAAGCAAGATGATTAAATCATTTTTAATCCATTCCGCCGTTCCAGAGCACGTCGTGTTCAACAGAAATTTTGCTTAGATTTAGTGCTCCAGGCAATAGTTTAATTAAGGAGGCTGCTAAGATGACGTATTAACGCAGCCGTATGAATGAACTGGTTGGATAAGACTTTCAAGTGAACTTTCTGTTATTTTCTTAACTAAAGTTCTATAAAATAATTTTTCCTGAAGTTAACTTGATAAAATAAAAATAAAAATTCCCTCTAAGATCGATCGTTCACAACTTAAATCGCTTAATTTCATATTTAAATTTGAATAAAATATCAGGATTAAAATTTATTTTT